TCTCTCTCTCTCTTTTTTTTACGGTTTTACAAAAATAAGAAAAATTGTCTCGGTAATTCCTTTTTTTTCGTTTTAAATGGATTCGCGCATCTTCTTTCTTTTTTTTTTTTTCTTTCAGCTTTATAGCTTCAAGAAAAGACAACGTGACAGACGGCACACCATCGAAATGCATTCTTTTTTTCTTTTCTCGTCCATTAAAAATTAAATGGCGATACGTTGTTGCATAAATATTACGTAGGTCTTGGTACGTGTTTCCTTAAACGTACAAAGATCCTCAAGTTGTTACTTTCCGAAATCGTACGCTTATAAAACCTGCGTTGGCTGCTGAGCTGGTGTAGATACTGGACCAGCAGCAGAAGCAGGCGGTCCGATAGGACCAAGATCACCTCCACCACTCGAAGCACCAGCAGGTGTTGCCACCCCCATTGCGGATGCAGTTTTCATGAAAAATTTCTCTAACTTGACAATGATGTGCTTGCCGTAGGTGTACTTGCGCAAGCTACCTAAATGTGGGCGGATCTTGTGCATCAATACTTTCCGTTGTGCAGGTTCTGCTACATCGATCATTTTCTGAACCACGTAGTTGGCATACTGATCCTTCATCATGACGTTTAATGCGCTGTTTCATAACAAGTAAAACAATATGCGATTAGTACAACAAATATAAGCGAGTTGTAACAATAAAATTACAAAAAGGAAATATTGGAAATAAATCTTGTCAAATACTGAAAAGTTTATATCAGTCATATACGTTACGAAACTTACTTGTCGTTAAATCCGCATACTTCCTCAATGAGTACAGCACGCTCTTGTCTCGTGGCATGGGTCACACATTTTTCAACGACGTTGCTTGCAAATTTATGTTGAGAAAGAGTAAGTACTTTACCCCTGACACTGCTAATCAACTGCGCTTTATCTTCCGGCTTTCCATGTTCTTTAAAACAAATACATTCAAGTGAGTTAGTTACTTTATAGGAAAAGAGAGCATTGAATATATTTCGAAGTAACGATACTTACCGAGCACATGCTGGATCACGTAATTACCATACTGATCTTGAATGAGCTGATCAGTAGCAGCATGTAATTCTTGAAGAATGCCCTGAGTTTGTTCAGGGGTACAGTGCTCGAGAATACGTTGGATCACTCTGCACCCATAAGGATGAGTACTCAAGGAATACACCTGACCAGCGAAAGCTCCGATTACGAACTGCAGTGCTCGTGGTTCCACGCATTCGATACACTTTTGCACAACATGATTTCCATTTTGATCTTTAACGCATTTCAATACGTGACCGTCCAGTTCTCGAACGATTTCTTGCTGTTGTTCCGGTCCGATCGATTCGAGAGCTTTCTGAATCACTCTACAACCGTACATCTGCAGTGCCAAGGGCAGTACGTGTCCTCGAACCTAGCACCAACCAACAATTAATTTAAAATTGGCAAAGTCCAGAAAGTCTTTCCTCTACAGATTTACTTAAACAATTCAGGTGGAATTATTTTCGATCAGCGAGAATCAGTTGACACGCAAAGGTAATCATCATTTAAGGTATCCATAATGGATTCACAACTACTACAAGGCGTGATAATTACCTTTTGGGCAAGCGTGGATTTTTGTTCCGGCGTACCGAATTCAAAGAACTTCTGAATAACATAATTTCCGAAAACATCGGTCATCAATGAATAAGCAGAAGTAAGGATCTCTTGGAACACAAGCTGCTTTTCGCTGGCGGAGGCACGTTCTAATTTCTGCTGAATAAAACGGGAACCGTGCTGATCTTGACTGAATTCGACTATATGATTGGCCAGATCACGTAGCTGAAGACTCGGGAATCTAAAGCACATGAGAATACGCTCGTAATATAAGTGGTGTGGTGCCTGTGCCGCGAGGCAGGCAACGTGATACGGGTGTTCTCGAGTGATAACTCGGAAAGCACGTACCGGTTATTTCTAAAGTCCTCCAACAAGCGGGACCGTCCACCGGCGTTTTTGTCGCCGATGCTGGTCGTACCGCCGCGGCCAGGTTTGCCCACCAAGTTCGGGAAAAGAGAACTACTTGAACCGAAAACCCCGTTTGCTGTTAATGCCGGAACTGCGCTAGCACGGAACTTGGCTTCAGCGCCGGGAGCAGCAGATACTCGACTGGGACCACCGACGAGTCCACCTAAAGACCCACCCAAAGTTGGCGGTGGTGTTAGGGATAATCCTAATGGGCTTGGCGATGCCGTTACCGTGCCTGCAAATAAGATCCAGCAACTAGGTAAGCAACTGTATTTAACGAGTATTATCACGGCGCACAGAGAGCAACGCGGATCAGTACTTACCTAGGGCTCCGTAACTCTGAGGCCACTTTGCGCGACTGTATTCCAAGCTAGGGCTAAAAGCAGACGTGTTCCTATCGAATGAATCTCTTCGTGCAGTTGATGAAGCGCCGAGGCCTAGACCTGCGAACAGAGAACAAGGGACGCAAGATTTTCAAAAGCGGAATCTCGCTGAGACGACGCAAGACGCATCACGATTTCCGAGAGGTATCTCTTCTTTTTCTTTAAATACAAACAGAAC